CGTACGCACAACTTAAGAACAAATCTGTGCGTACGAACGGTTCTTGCATGAGGCCCAATGAGTTTAGAAGTCTTTATAAAAGTAAATGAAAAGTTGAAGGAAAACAAACAATATGTTGCAACCTAATTTACGCTTTAATTGATTTCCATTTATCATCTTCTTTTGAAATTTTTAATTACTTGTTAATTGGGCAAGAGTAAAGTGTCCCCATCTTACGCAGACTCAGTACTTTAAAGCTTTTATTTAGCTACACTTTTTTTTGTTTTTCACAGGTAAAATTAAGTCTAACAGGAAACCATCCTTGAAGATTTAATTTCTTTTACTTTGTTTTTTTGTCTTTTGAAGCACTGATTTAGTGAATTTATCTTTTAAGACTTTGATGAGAACCAGCATTAAAGAGCAGAGTCAAAGATTTTGTGAATAAAATGAAAGGACCTGGATGAATATCGATGCTTTGATGGCTGACACAGATAAGACACGCTGGACAAGCAGAGGAGCAGTGAGCCTGTGGACCTGGAACGATACAGTAGTCGTCAGAGTGCAGTGATGTAGAAACTGGAAAAAAAAAAATTGAAAGAGAAAACTGCAGTGACAAAGATGAAAGGCACGATAAATTCGGAGGGAATGAATCTCCAAAGTGGGACTTTGGGGCTCAAAGTGAATTTGTTTTGTCATACAAAAGGTAACTTTTCTAAAAAAATAAACTCATGGCGTTCTTGAAAAATAACTGCTTACATTTATAGTTGTGTGTGGAAATAATGTTTTAATAATGATTACTTCTGATTTATTTTCCACACAGTGTGTATAGCCGTGGCTGGCTGTAACGACCTTGTTCAGAAAATAACTTTTATTTATTAAAAATTCCATTAGTTTTTCCCCTTTTAAATATTAAGTCAACAAAAGCACAAATCTAAATTTCTTTTTCTCCATGTTCCTTTGAAAGGAGTAAATGATTGTTTTCTATCGATGGTTTCACTCTGAATAAAACAAGTGAAGTGTTTTGAACAAGTGGAAACACTTTCAGGATTGTGAACTCAGGTGAAGTGACAGGTACCCACAACGCCTGCAGTGTTGTCTCTCCGATTTATCTCCCAGATGGACTCAGTGTTTTGTTTGCAATTTCCCAGAATGAAACTGCTCTGCATCCCAACCCTAAAGAAGGATGATGTCTGGGAAAACGTCTGTGCCTTCAAAAACACACGGCACGTCCCCCTGCAATCGTAGGCTGCTGGAGATTTAAATGGTTTTTAATGGGTGCTCAAGCAATCAGACATTTTCTGTTCCCAAAATACCAGTTTTCTTTTTTGCTTAAGGTTAAGGTACATCTTAAAATTACCTAGGCATGGATGAAAAACAAATGAACACATAGGTTGATCAAGGACATCTTGGCTCTCAGCTAAGAGGATTAAAAATATATATATATATATATATATATATATGACATTCATATTGTCTGACGACATGTTTAATTCACTTTGAGATATATTTTTCAATTCAGCCTCTGTGATGAAATCTAAATACAATTCTAATAATAAAAGAACCATTAAATTTTTGTTTGTTTGTTGTTATTGGATGTATGGTAATGTCTAAAAAGATTATCTGAAACCCCTTTTCATTTAAGTCAATCGACTTGTGTTGTGTGGCACTTTTTTTTCTGTCAGTCAGTCTACTAGGAGACGAATGTCACAGAAAATTGGTATGTGAGAATGGCAGTATGGTTAATGTCTTGCACGGCCCCTCATACAAATAGGCATAC